AGGAACTTAGACAAATCATTCTTTATGCTGCACATTGAGGATGTTGGGCCCAAAAATATAAACAGAAGTGCAATCAAAGAACAACATCTTGGCAGGTGAATTGATTCTCAGTGTTTTTCAGACAGGCTAGCCAAGTTATTCTCCACTAAAGTGAGCTGTGACATATCAAGCTACCAGCTGTTAAAAGGCACTCAATTATTCCAATTACTTTTTCTTTCTCTTTTCCCCCTGATTCCATCAGTAATGTTCTGTCAGACTCCCAAGTTCCTAATGTTAGATGTTTTATTTTTAGCTCTATTTTTTTTAACTTATGAATAGCGAAAGAAAAGGATAAGTAAAATAATGAAGAGTAGGTAACAGTTGTATAGTGCACAGCAATGGAGTTTTTAAATAATGTTGTCTAGTATAAAAACAGTTCCCGCCTATGTGTGATGACGTAGGAAGAACCTGGTGCTGTGTTTCAGGTTGCTCTTACCAAGCTGGCAGCCAGGAGGTAAAAAAGATGTTTTTTAAACTGAGCATGTTCAATACAGAAATCACTGAGTGATGAGCATGGGATCTCAAGGGCCCTTTTCTGAGCAGAAAACTACATGCTCAGAAACAGGGAATGTGTCTAATGCTGGGTAAGTAATGGAGGAAAATGCTTGTGAGAGCTCAGGTGGTATAAAATACCGCGCTCTAGATTTAGTGGCCCCCTTGAGAGCAGCCTTTTGCTTCAGGACTGAAGTGCAAGCAAAACAATGAACTATCTCACAAACTGCTATCATTTCTAGCCCAGTTAATTTTGTTGCAGGACATAAATCTAACACTGGTCTCTCGCTCTGGGAAATATTTCCCTCGCTCAGGTTTATAATCATTATAACCTCTTTTCCTCAGAAGAATCAAGTAAATATTAGAGAAAGGCTATAAAAAATATTACTGGTCTAATAAAATTATTAGTGCATTTGAATATCTGGAAATAATTCTCACAGAGCACTGTGTCCTACAAACACATGCATATGTTTTACTCCTCTGGGCTTTTTGTCAAATTTACATCAAATCCTCCAATTTGTGTATCCAGTGAGGCTTTTCTTTTGCCAGTGATATGAAAAAACCCTTTGTCAAACTCGTGGCAGTGTTTTGAAGCCTTTCTAAGTGCCACTTGGGGTTTTTATTTTTACTTTGAGATTAATTTTTTCCACTTCAGAAGCAAGACTAAATGAAAAACTGGTCATATTGGTGTTTTAAAGCACATCTGCTAAGGGCAGTGTTCACAGATGGATAAGGATAAGGATCATCACAACCAAAATCCATGTGGAGACTAGAGCTGCAGTTCCCCTAATTGTCTAAAATGGGAAATTGGATGTCTAGACAATCAGTAGCTGGCATGTTTGAGTACTGTTGGGACCATAAATAGGGCTTGAAAATAAAGAATTTGGTTTTCTTTCCTTCAGCCAGTGTGGCTAACACCCAAGAAGTTTTACCGTGCATTCTTCAAAGATAAACAAACAACATCTTTGTTTACTCTCATGTGCAATTGCTCCAGTGGGTGGATTGCAGCTCTTTGCCACTTGCCTCTCGGAGAGTTTTGCCTCTCCTTGGGAAGCAGGACAGAGTGAGGGCCTGAGGTCCTCACTCAGCTTCTGTAGGCACCACCAACACTGCCAGTCCTGGGACTACATGGCTCAGGAGCTCTGCTGCCCTTGAATTGGATTTGAGACAGCAATAATCTCCCATCACTCACCAAAGGCACTGAAAAACCAGGCTTGTGCACTCGTTTCCGGACTCCTGGTCTCCAGCCTGAGCTTTCCCACCCTGGAGGGAGCAGGGGTCTTGGCTGAGCAAAAATGGTGCCTGATCTTTCCCAGTGAGGATGGACCTTGGTTGAAGGGCTTTTCTGTCTTCCCATCACATGGGAGCACTGCCACAGCCATTTTTCTGTCTGGGAACAGGAATGGGGGGATATAGGACAGGTGGAAAAATGATATTGGAGCTGGTTGAGAACAGTGTCATCACTGCAGTGGCCACCTGGGGCGGCTGGGTTGGTCCTCAGAAAGCCCTGTGAGGGTTTGGGTTGTTCCTGCTGTGGAGGACACAGGAGCCGCCACTTTCTGAGCCCTAGAAAGAAGCCATCCCTTTCTCACCTAGTTTCATACCCAGCTGTGCTTCCTTCCTCCGCTTCAACACATTTCCTTATGCTCCGCACCCTGTGTTCCTCTGTTAAACACCACCTCATAATATTGCCCCTCTTCCTGAGTCATATCACCAAGGTCTGGATTCCTCACCTCCACCCCGATCCTACACAGCTGAACACATCCAGCCTTTGTCGCGTTCCCTAGGATGAACTAAGTAAATAATAACTCCCACCAGAGCCTGAATCAGCCTTCCCACATGGAGGATGTGTTTCTAGAGGGTTGACTGTGTGTCCTATCTCATGTTCCTTTGCAAAGGAGGAAAGCAGCATCGCAGTCAGACAAGCCAGCTGACAAAAAGGAAGAGGAAAGCCAAAACGTAAGTGAAAGACTCCTCACTGTTGTGCTCTTGCAAATATGTTGATGTGCTGCCTTGGGAACCAAAGTCCTGTGCTCATTCACTGCGTGTGGCAGGCAGTGACAAGCAGTGCTGATCCAGGAATGGATTTGCACATTCAGCCAAAAGCTAAATGTGACTGCTTCCACCTTTCCTGGGAACAGCACGCTATAAACAAGAACTGCAGCCTTATTCATAGGTGAGGTATTGCTCAAACCAGGCTAATAGGTGCTTTCTCATGGTCTGATCCAAGCGTTGAAGCGTACAGTAGATTCTTGCCCCTTGAGAAGATGCATTGAACCTTCTGGTAAGTCATGAGATCACGTTCACGTTTCTTATTTTAAAAGTGCTAAGCTGAAGTGGATCATCAGCCATGTGGTGTAAGTTTAGATTGCCATCCTCCATGCGAAGCAAAAATCGCATCACTTTGGACTTCAGAGTGCACATAAAACATGTCTCTGGGGGAGTGAATGGGAAACAGTGTATTAACCATTAGACAATTCGTAAGTTAAAATATGTGTTCATGATGCTTACACTAAAACAAGATAGAATTTGGACAACTTCAGGGAACTTTGATTCATTCCTGTTTAAACTGTTCTGTCTGTATGTTGTCCACAACAGCAATTAAACAAGAGTTTTGATTTGACGCAGTGTTTACACTGATCTTGGTGCAGCAGTTTTGAGTTCAACATGCAGATAAAACACTTCTTTTTCCTGTTGAACCGGTGAGCATGGGAGATCTTTCCAGTTTCTAGAGAGGCTAGGATTTATGCTGTGTCCCTTCCCATTTGGTGCTTTTCTGGGCAGCTGCTCATACAGCATTCCTGTTGCTAACCTGTACCGTTGTGAAGATTCTCTGCCATGGCTGCAAGTTCATTAAGCGTCATGTGTGCCCGTATCACCTGTATAGAGATATTCCCTCTGAAGACAAGGTACCAGCTGCTTAGCAGGAACACCATTCAGAAAATGTAGGTCTCCCCCAGTCTGAAAGGTTTGTAGCACGAGCAGGAATAAGCACTTGCAGTGTTTAAGGAGAAAAGCAGCTATTTTTTGCATGTTCCTCGAGGGATGCTTCAAGCATGGAATTTGCCTTTTGAACCTCTGATGCTGCTGTGCAACCATTGCTCTTAATCTTGCCCCAAAGCTTGTTTTGAACCACACACTCAGAGATGAAAGGCACCATTTAGCTTCTAACTATTCAGCCTCTGCTCTTTCTGCCTTCTTCTCTCTCCTTGGAGCTTATATTTTATATCCCAAATCAAACTTTTTGATAGCACCAAACTTTTAGAAAGGTGTTTTAGAGAACATTGGTTTAGTGTGTATCTTGAGTTCACTTTGTGGTGGGGGTATCTTCTGTCAAACTGGGGGCAATTCTGTTTTATAATGCAGTTAATGCTTTGTCTGAGTGTGTTTTGAGGACTCCTAAATAATATTGACGTCAGATATATGGGTTAACGTTTTATGATCTGTCACACACAAATCCCAGAAAAAAAAGAGTCCAAATCTGTGATGTAGTGTTTAATCTTTTATTTAGGAGGCGATTGATTGATTTAGTTACATTCTGTTAGTACCTGGACTGCACTCACTGATACCATTGGCTGTCCTGGGCTAAAAGGCTGGGATCTGACCTACTGTTCCTTCAGGTGGCTCAGTTTCCATACCACAGAGAGCTTCTAAATTTGATAATTGGATGGTTTGTATTTAGACAACAGCAGCCAGCACTTTTCAGTGGTAATTCAGCCTGGTTTGGTATACAGGGATGAGAGTGAGTCAGTGGAATCATGAAAAAGTGTCCATGTTGACAAAAAAAAATAAAATATGTATTTTCTCATGCTAAAGGGAGAGAAAGGTTAAAGTTTGAATGGACTTGAGCCCACACCTTGGCAGCAATGCCTGTTGGACATGCTTGGAGGAAACTTGCTTTTGAATGACCTGTGCTGCAGCTGGTCTCCAGAGTAGAAGAGGACTCAGTGCTTCATCTCCAGAATTAAGTAATGTCCTGTTTTTCTCTTCCTAGGATGATGCTAGCACCTCTCCTTCACCCAGTACACGCGGTCCCGCCCAGCAGCAGCAAAACTCATCAGGTATTAAATCAAACTATTAGTGTTGTAGTTGCTCTTTAGCTATTCTTCTCCACTGTCTCTAGATTCTGGGTTCATTGTCCTACTTCTGCGTGCAGCAGCAGTAACTAACAGAAAAATTCCCAAATACTTATTGTTTCAGGAAGAAATGGTGATTGTATATGCTTCACAGCTGAGAGAATGACAATACAGCCAATGTAGCCGGACGCGTAGCTGAGGATCTGCATCTTCAACATCATGCACCTGAATCTTCTAAGAGAAAAAGCTGTATTATTTAACTTCTGGTAGTGTAGCTGTCCTGGTTTAGAAATTAAGGAGCCTCCAAAATATGTTTTTCCTATGATGAGTTGAAATACCTGTATCTGAGTAGATAAGCTGCAAGCCAGTCAGATTCATCCTTGCATCAGCCTTGGCTTTCATACATGCTAAAAGAAATCTCTCCCAAGGGAATAAGTATTTAACCATTCCAGCTTCCTTTTGGAACAAAGCCATGATTTGCATGTTTTGCAAGGGAAGGGGAAGAAGCCAGCAAAAGGGTGCACGTAAATGAGGTACGAGATCAAGAGATTTCCTGGGAGTGTCCATAATTCTTTTAAAGAGCTTTTTAGGACCTCACAGAGGAGCAAACCCTTGTGTATAAAGTTGTGTGTTATTTAAATCTCTGAAACAGTTCACTTTATTTTAGACTATTTGCATAGGAGGAGATTGGGATGATAGTTAGGTGTTTTCAGTCAGAAGAGTTACGTAGTGCAGCTTTTGGAAATGTTCTGTGAGTTAGAAATGTAGACAAGATTAAGTAAATTTTCTGTGGAGATTTGCATAGTGAGGGTCTCACTGCCTTTTTTTAGATACGCCCACGTTTTCTGCCAATTATGCAGACAAAAAAAACTAAGACTTTTTAATTTAAAATATAAATAAGTATGGTACTGAATAAAATAAGCCTTACAGCAATTATCCTGTATTTCTTAATAGAAGTGATTTGCGCTTTTCCTCCTAGTGTTCCAGTTCCGTGTCTTTTTAGTATTGTTTAACTATCCGGTCTCTAATTAAAGGGATCACTAAACAGATTTTTGCCAATGCTTTCTCTCTAGTGTAGGCAGCCACGCTCATTCAGCACTCCTGCTTTGATGGATCTTTCTGAGTCACTCATCCTCACTGAATGAAAGCAGCTGTATCAAACAATCAACTTCAGGCGTTTTCTATTGTTAGAGAAAAAATAATAAACAGTAACTTTTCATTTTTGTTTTCCAGACTCTGGGAAGAAGCCATGGGAAAGGAGCAATTCTGTTGAAAAGCCTGTATCTTCATTACTTTCCAGGTGAGCTGCGCGAGGTGTCCCTGTGGCTGGCTAGCAGTCAGGATGGTCATGCTGTCACCATGGCATGTGTACAACTCATGTCTCATTTCATTCCATTGCTGTAGAAATCCATCAGTGGTGAAGAGCTGTGAAGCTAAGAGCCCCACACAATCCCACGTGTCTTCTAGGTACTGGTTAACAGCCTGGCTTCTTAACTGTCTTGGCTTGTCCTTTGGCTAATCCCATCATTCAGCACTAATGTTCATCTTCTGCCGTGTCTTTTACTCATTCTATTACAATCTGCTTTTCCTGTCACCACACAAAGCGTGAAGGTAGAGTGTGTCGTGTCAAAGGCTTGTTCCATGGAAACAGGCCCCTGCTTAGGTGGGCCCAGGCATCACATACATTAATTATACTTAAGCAAGCACTGGAAGTGTCTGTGCTCATGAATCAGAAGCACGGGCTTGGCAGCGCACTGTGCCACGTGGCAGGCAGGTTTTCGAGCATCTTTTTACAGCAGGTTCAGGATGATCCTGCCAGTAGGAGAAGTTTTTATAGTTCAACCTCTGCAGAAATTCAAAAGCAAAGGCAGAAATTATCTGAAGATCCTGCAACTGGGAGAAGGGAAGTTATTCCTCCATCTGTGTAGCTGCAGTGGGTGCATGAGAAAGGAGAGCAAAGTTTGGTGTAATAACATCAAGCTGCAAAAAGGCCCAGCCACAGACAACACATTCGGAAATAGGAGGTACAAAAGCTGACAGGGATCAAAAGCCAAGAAGCCTAAAGTAGGACTCCAGAAGTCCTGTCAGTCAGAACAGCCAAGCAGTATCACCACCCATGTTCTTACCCACAGAGATTGAGATAAAGTTTGATGTTGGACAGCTAAAGACATGCTTCCTTCCAGTGCTGGTCCAGGACCACCTAATGTTACTGAAGTACTGGACACTGAGATGGATGGATAAGCTGAATAAGGAGGTGGAACACAGGCTTGCATATGTTTAGCATTTACTGCAAAGACATGTCCCTTATTTTACAGTTACGTGTACAACAGTGCTGATAGTCTGCAGAGAGAAAGTTGCCAATGGCAACTATCTGCATGTACTTGCTGCCGTGTTAAAGATGCTGGAACATGCCTTGCCCAAACATTCAGAGGGATGCACCAGTGTTACCAGAGCAAAATGTAGTCTCTCCAGCTCTCCTAAAACAAATGAGACACATTGGTTCTAGGAAATATGTAGGAGTTTCCAATAGATATAGAAAGACCATTCCTTCTCCTTGCAAATGGGAATGAAATGTAGGCTATTTAAAGCAGCCATCCAGCTTTCACCAACTATCTTCTATAATGCTATTCCGTCCTGGGAGGAAGAGGAGCTGATTGGGAAAAATTCCTTTCTTAGTTTAACACCTGGAGTAGTGCTCAGTCCTTCCTTGCTTGAATGACTTCTGTGGGGGAAGCGGGGCAGGTTTCAAAAGCTCTCAGCGGTGACCTGCTTCTGTTCCTGTTCCATTTGATGGCATTTGCATCTATCTTCACTCTCAGTTCAGCAGTGAGATGGTAGGAGATATGTTAAGATTCTCCCAAGAAAGGGTTGCAAGACCAAGCGTATCCTCAGCAGCGGCAGAACCTCCACCAGCTGCCAGGTTGGGCCCAAAGATGACGGCAAAGTTATCTGAAGCCTTTTCTACGAATTATATAGCAAGGTTAATTTTTGAAATGTTCTAGAGTTACTGATTAGAAGACAAAGTCAAGCCACTTCTGCTTGCTCAGTTTATTTTATCAGCCGTTATCAGAGTTCAGCCCACTGACTCATACCATCCTGGAAGATCAATAACACTCAAGTGTGCTAGCCATTAAGGGCAAATTGGTTTTGTTTCTGGGTCGAGAAAAAGTTCCTGTGCTACACAGTGCTATCAACAAGCTCCACTTGACTCAGTCAGGCCTTCCAAGAAAAGGATTACTGGGTTATTATTTTCACTATCATATTTTTCTAACCCATATTCTACTATTACTTTAGGACCTGATTAAAGTGTAGGTAGCCAAGACAGGGTTACTGTACAGAAAACGGACTGTGAGTGAAAACCAGACATCTAGCTTGCAAATTGCAAATGCTGTAATAAAATACATTGTTAAACAGGCTTTATCCCCTGAAGACATCCCAGCATTTTCTAGTCGGAAATCATTGAGACTCCCAACCACAAAAAAAACCAAAGAGTGGATTAAGTTTCAGTGCAGTCTTTGCACTCTCTCCAGTATGTCTGGAATAGGAGAAAGCAGCATCTCTGAGGGTCAGGTTGTGCAAACTGGAGCAGTGTTGCTCTCCGGCTGCCAAACGCTCTTGAGCAGCACAAGAGGGAGCCTCTGGTCCAGCGCTGGAAAACGGATGCTCTTGCTGTGGGGTGGATTTCATCCACACCCTCAGGTGGGTGTAGCCTGGTCAGCATTGCAAGCAACTGACTGGCTTTTTTATCCTCTTCTTCCACTTCTCAAGGATGAAGCCAGTGAGCAGCAGCAATGACATGGCTATGGATGCCTTAGATTTTGATCGAATGAAACAGGTGAGTGAAAAGGTCTTTTGCACTTAAGAGATTTGACGAGCTACCCATTTTCCCCCATGCATGCGCTGTACAAGCAAACCAGCTGTTCAGTCTTCTGATTTCCTCTATAACTAGGTGCTTAGAGGAGGGCTAGCTGGTGAGCAGTGAGAGAGCACAATCTCACTACTATTTGATCAGGATGTCTGTACAGAAACATGCAAATAAATATGCCCAGCATCTTCTGCGTCCTTGGCCTGGGAGTGCAGATGTAGCTGTTAGTAGCGCTAGGCTCTGATCATCAGCGGAGGCGGGGGACAAGCACAACCGTGTTAAACTTGCATTTTCTTCCACCAGTTAGAAGGAAATTCTGAGCAGCTGACTTGTGTTTTGTCTCATCAGGAAATATTGGAGGAAGTTGTAAGAGAGTTACACAAAGTGAAAGAGGAGATAATTGATGGTAAGAAAGAGAAAAATTATTATTTTTCTCATCTTTATGACTAATTTCCCACAGACAAGACGATAGGAACTGCAGGGAGTCCCCTGGTGTTTTCAGACTTCTTTGAGCAGCTCTGATTTATATACACATTTGAAGAACAAGCATCTGCCTTATATAAGCTCTGATCGTGACATTGTGTTTACGTCCTTTATTTTTATGCTGTTGACTAGCACTTTCAGTCCCAACCTGTGAGAAATTCACTGGTCAGTGTTTCTCACAGGTGAGAGAGTGAGAAAGGGCCCGCCTGTAGCCCATGGCATGTCAGTTTATCACAATCAGGGAGCGTGAAATCGCTTGTAACTGGCCGGCCACAGAGGTCCAGGCTGAGGAGGGGACAAAGGTACCAAACTGAAAATCCTCCCTGAGCATCTTCTGTAGGCTTCTTGTGCTTGAAGAGCTATTTCAGACCTTCACTCAATTACCACTTTCTGAATAGCCACGTATTTTTATAATTCATCAAAAACACAACACCTGCACTAAATGTATCAGTACCTTTTTATAATTGCTCTGCAATATATGACTAAATGTATTTTTCAGGGCCATTATTGAAATACACAGCAAAACACCTATATGAAGCCCACATCAGGGCACATGAAGATGCATGTCCATGCCCTGCACTCCCCATCTTAGATTCACACAGGAGGGGAAAAAGAGGAGACTGTAAACCAGCTAAAATCCATTCCCTGTCCCCTTGCCCTAGACCCATGTGCTCATAAAACCTTGGAGCAGTTTGCAGTTGAGGAGACCCTCGCCCATACGCTACCGTCCCAGCAGCTTGGCCCTCAGAGCCTCCCTAGTTCATTCCAGTGCAAAATAAGGCATTCACGTAAATCACAGCCGCAACTTCTTAAGCCAGTACTGCAGTTTGCAAGCAAACAGCTGACTGCTTACCCTTACTCATCCTTTTGCCCTCCGCTCATCCTTTATCAGCGTGTACTTTCTGCAACCTCTATACTTAGCGCTTTCCATCACACTGGGTGTAACGTTGTGCATTAACTTTTTGGTTTGGTTTTCTAGCCATACGGCAGGAGTTGAGTAGAATCAGTACAACATAATGATTGCAAAGCATTTGGACGGTACTAAGAATGCTAGGAAGATCGGATCATTTCTAAGTGTACCAAGGTCATGCAAGATGGTGAGAGAGGACACCGGCACTGTCTTTGTTCTTATACCCTTTTTATTAGCAGACTCAGCACACTTTGAAGCTTGCTGCTGCCTTGGATTCGCTTCATTTTAAAAGTCTTAATCTAAAGAATATTAAATTTTAAATTTCTGGATTTTTTAGATTTCATCTGACACTGCACATTGGATTTGTCAGCCTTTTTTGTATTTTGTATTTGCTTATTTAAATGTATTACCTTTCTTTTTAGTAGTAGATAAGAACACATGTGAACCATTTGCTTTTGATAGATGACTTCAAAGTAATTTTACTAGTAGTCTGCAATGTAAATGAAGATCCTTTGCCAACAGAAATGTATTGTGGCATCACCAGAAGAAACAGAGACATGTTAGTTGTCAGCCAATAAGTTCTTTGTCTCAGAGTTATCACAATATAAAAAAAAATGGTACGTCAGTGCATCACAGTATCTGTGTTCATATTGGTAATAAACTGTTTATTGTCCACATGGCCCTGCCTTTCTTTGTTTCATTCGTCTCTTTTGCTCCTGCACTTTTATGTGACTCAGGTAGACGATGGGAGGAAGGTGACAGACTTGCTGTGGGGTGGTGACTCTGCTGGGCCAGCATTGCAGAGGACAAGGAGGGAGCCTGAGCACATTAAGGCTGGTGTGACGGCAACAGCCCTCCCTTCTTTTACAGGGAGATATGGCTCTCACCTGCCCGGCCCTCCTGGCATCGCCAGCTGAGCACCATCTCCTGCTGTCAGGCTGCGGCAACCTCAGCAACTTTTTGCCCAAGTCAGTGAAGGACAGTGGCTTCCGGCTCTTCTCAGGCCACCACTAACTGTTGCTCTGCACCTCCTGCCATTGCTGAAAAAAAAAAAAAACAGGTCCCATCACCTGCAGTCATAAGGGCTTCCAGTAAACAAAGGGGAGGAATTTAAGCAGAACAAGGCTACCAAAGGCATTAGGAGGGTGCAAGCTGACATCACTGGCACAGCACTGCTGAACTAGAGGCTTAAGGGGAGTCATTTCTTAATATCTCACGTTTCATTTGTTAATGTTATGCAGGTCTTGAGCTTTATTTCACAGAAAGTGAAGTCAAAGATATGAGTACAGGACACTGAACACTTATCAGCACACACCCAGTCATACCTTTCACGTCATACAATTTTTTTTCTTCAGAGCCGTTCTTTCCACCAGCGCAACCTTGGGAATTTCTGCTTAACTTAGTTTGGCGCAAGCTTTTCATGACAGTAGTCTTGATACCATCTTCTTGATAACTTTGTGCAAAAGGCAAGAGATTGGAATTCAGCTATTGAAATCTGTCAAATATTTTCCAAACCTCCTGCTTTGCTTCAGCTCTTCCTGAAGATTTCATTTTAAAAGCCAGGCCCCAGGAATGGTTTTGGGAGCAGAGCCTGGTGCAGCAGCCCAGGAGAGGCTGTGGTTGTTTCCTCGCTCACGTGCCCCAGATCTTGGGGAGCACAGCAGCAGGCCAGAGGGACTGCAGCCAGCAACAGGAGACCCAGGAGAGGAGACAGGGTGGGCCGTGCTTTGCGGTTAGTTGCAAAAACGTTACCTGCTTTGGCTTGGAGAACGTGGGTTTGTCCTTCAGTACTCTTCAAAGCAATCCAGTCTGCCTTTTAGGAAAGAGTCTTTTTCACAATGAGGTTATACTGTAGATTACCTGGTGTAGTGGAGGGTTTCCCTGCCCATGGCAGGAGGGTTGGAACTAGATGATCTTTGAGGTCCCTTCCAACCCTAACCATTCTATGATTAAATAGGGGACACCTGGGAGAAATCTGAGTTTCATGCAACATTGAGCTCCAGACTGAGCCTTGTGTCTGTCAGCTGTTTAATGCTAGCAGAAGGCAAGAGACAGGTCAGACAGCAGGGTGACATTTCCACATGGGAACTAAAGCAGGCAGACACTGATGTGCACCACAATACAACAACCCCAAGACCAGGAGAAGAAGCCTTTCCAGTTGGACGAACACAGACAAGCATCAGTAATAGCAAAGATTATAATGCTCCGTTGCATAAATCTCATACAGTAGCTCATGTGTTTCTTAACTATAAAGCCATGTAATGGCATACCTGACAACAGCAAGTACTTTTCAAAACTGCTGCCTCTCAGATGATCACAACCATTCTCTGAAACTCTCTTGTAATCTTAATTAAGCTTCAGGAAATTGAGCCCTGGCACGGTTCACATTTTCCTTGGAATGTGGCATTATGCCTAAGGTCAGTAATAACCGTGTTGTAATCGGGGCCAGACGTACAGCCTGGATACGGTGTGCCCCTCTGTTAACATCAGCCGCTGGCTGTAAATCAGTGTTTCTTACTTTCTTCTTCTACCTTTGCAGGCCTTGTATAATTAAGACATAACGAGCTGAAGTTTGCACAGGGCCACTTAATAGCTGTGGGAGAAAGCTGGGAGGGAGTGGAAGGGGAGGCTTGGCTGATGGGAGCAGACCTGGCATCACCGATGCTTTGCTGGTTCCCACCTTACAGCTCCAGCAACAGGGATGCACTGGGCAGCTGATCTGCAGTAGTGGCACTGCCAGAGGATTTCTCCCTCCCAGACACTAATTCAGTTTGCCTGTTGCCTCCGTAGAGAAGGGTGTCCCTTCACGCTGGGCTTGTGGAGAGTACTGCTGCAAGAAGGCAGCCCACAGGTGTGGGCAAAAGGGGCATGAACTTCCACTCCAACCTGTCATACAGCTGTTTGTCCCTCCTGTCTCCTCTTGCCAGAGCATTAGTGTGGCCACACAATGAAGAAGATCTAGGTTAATTTTTAAGCAAAGAGAATAAAACTATACGTAGCCCCAGTGTTTTTGTAACCCAGACCCATTTGCCCTGTGGCTACAAAAAACAAAATCCCTTCTGCCAACTTTAGTGGTAGTTGCAAGGACAGATGCCCACAGGGAGGAAAGGATCACAGCCTTCTCCGGCAGCACCCACACACATTGAAACTCAGCTTGCACGGCACATCCACCAGCAGCAGGCTTCCAGCTGCTTCCAATTCCTGCGGAGATGGAGAGGGCAGAGCAGGAGAGCTGTGGGGCTGCCCAGCAAAGCAAGGTGGGACTGTGACAGAAATACTGATGGGAAGCAGAATAAGAAGCAGCTGCCAATTTTGGCTTATTCAGGCTGGGCTAGTAATCTATAGAGCTCATAGGTGACTGCATCATAGAACAGCTGAGTAAGGGAACCACAGAGAGGTTCTCCTCCATAGAGGAGAAGGACAACAGTCAGATTGAGGAAGACAGCATAATCTTTATTACGGTTTTTATATTAACTTGCTAAATTGGCCAAGCTTGCTAAGGACATGGGAAGCTGAATATGTTATCATGGAGTGCCAGCAACACTGAAGTAAATTTAATAAAAAAATGAAGCTCCTGACATGAGCACCAACACAAAGAAGTCAATGGAGGTTCCCACATCAAAGCCTCTTCCTTTAGAAGAAAAGAAACCTGAAGAACCAAGGAAGTCTGAAGTGTCAGAAGAAGTCCCATTCTTCCTCTTCTTTTCCAGAAAAGAACCAGACCAAAACAGTATTTGTGAATGAACTGGTATTCAGCCCCCGCATCACAAAGGATCTTGCACTGCTGAGCAAACCTGGGTAGTTACCCAACTGCCAAATTCAGACAGATGAGGAAAATGGGGGAAAGGGAAATGGAGGAGGAGGAACCCAAATTGCAGCAGGCTAGCTTGGCTGCCTGGAATGCCAGGCTAGTGAAAGGACAGACTGACTCACTGGGTCCAGCACTGTAGGAGGAAGGAATAAAACTGTGTTTATTAAGGAAATCAGGCTTCCCAGGTCAAATAGCGTACTTTGAGAAAAGGAATACAAAATAGTCCTTTTTTTTTTTGTTACAGACATGGATTTCCAGAAGAAAACAAAAAATTCATACTGTTAGAGGGTTAGGGTCTAAGAGGACCTTTATAGATCTATTCTCTTTTAACCACTTAGTAAGGATAGAAATAAATTGTCAGTTTTCCAGGGTGGAGGGAAGTTATAAGATGGCATCTGAACTCCCAGCTCCCAAGACACTGTTCTGCTTGGAGAAAGGTATGGTCATTAAGGTTTTTGATGATACAGAATTATTGAGGATAGCCAGAAGGTGATAGTTGGAGAGGACAGACAAGAAGATTCAACTATTCCAGTGGGAGGAAACGACAGATAAAGGTTAATGTCCATAGCACAAAGTGAGACACGTAGGGAGAGAAACAACCCCAGCGCCATGTTCCCTTAACACCATCAGTGACGGCTTTTATATAGCTGGAGAAACATGTGCTTCCCAAATGTTAAGTTGGTGCCCCTTGAAAGACAGAGGGAAAAAGTTACAGTTATTGTGAAAGCAGTTAGGAACCAATACCACCATAAAGCCTCCAAGTCTTCGCTGTCACATACATACTCCTAACTCCTATTCACAGAAAGGGGTATAATATAGAGAAAATCAAGAAAGATGATCAGGAATATTAACAACCTTGGTAAGCAACAACTAAATCTAGAACCTTCCCACCCTCAGAAGGACTTACAGTAGGGAAAAGTATGAGAAACATAAAGTTATGAATACCGTTGAATAGGTGAGTAAGAAAGGACCACCCAATTCCTCCAGAAGCGCATCCACGCTGCTGATCAGACAGCAAGCAGAAGACTAAGGCAAGGGCTTCTCCATGTCACTGTTCAGCTCTGCCACTTAGCTATACTATTATATTCTAAGAATAGAAATGGATTCAGAAAAGATTTAGACAAATCCCTGGAATAAAGATCAATCAGCAGCTACTAAAATAATGATCAAAATGTACAAAAATATACACATATTTCATTGCATATACAAAATCTCTGCTACCAGCCATTATCAGAAGTAAGATCTTAGATTAGACAAGACATTGAGCTAAAGGCACACTAGTCTTCTCCAGAAAGTATCATTTACTACTGCGTGCCAGTCTTCCTTGCTTCCACAGTCCTGTGCATGCAGAGCATCTACTTCTAATCTGGCATGAATAGAAACCAGTCCTAAGCTACACACACACACTCACACATACATGCACCAAACGATCTCCGTTGCAGACCACGCCAGGCACACATGGCCCAGGAAGTTAGTTCTAAGCTCAGACCAAAGGCTCACATAATCATAGCTCACTCTAACCTAGTTTTTCAGGGTTACATACAAAAATACCCTTCATTAAAAAGTACCAGTAATCTAAAATAGTGCATCCAATTGCTTCATCTTCACACTCATCCTCTGGAGCATGCCCCAGTGCTACTTCAGCACACACAAACGTCCTTCTGCTTCTGCAGAAAAGTCATTCAAACAAACAAAACACCCATGCAGCAGGCAGAGCTAGCCCATTAGCTTTCTTTTGCCAGCTTGCATAGTCTCTTAACTCTTGAATAAGGACCAATAGAGTCATCAAAAACAAAGTCCCACAGAACTCGAATCCAGGACTGGTGATGTGGGAGGTTATCGTAATATTCTGCTGCAATCTTCTTCACCTGGAAGAAGAAGAGAGAGAAGGAGCGTTTAGCTGCACAGTGTCGGGTGTGTTTCAGTCCTCCTATTCAGATCTGATAGCACAGCCATAACCTGAAGTTACTTGTTATTGCTTGTGAGCTTCTGAAGTTCAGCCAAACAAGACATACTTAAATACATTTAGATACTTCTTAGCAGATTTCTGATGTAAGCTTTGCCTCACAGTGTCAGAATTTGAAAGATGATGAATCTGCTTTCAGTCAGAACTATTTTCTCTCATTTGAGAATTGGAGGGATCTCCACAATGAGATGACTAACCCAGTTTATAAATTGCCAAGACTCCAACATACTGTATTTAAAGCCCTGTTCGCCACTTGTAATACTCATCTGCTGAGAGTTCCAGGTAGTGAGAAACACCAACTCAGAAAATGCCAGACGAAGCCTTGGCTACCCTTCATTTTCCGTCCTCCATTTTGCTACCGTGATGCAAATCTGAGACAGGTTCCCACAGCAGGCAGAGGAAAATACAGGAGTAGTCTGTTCTCCTCATTCTGGCATTAAAAGCGCTGCAAGACTCATTATTAGATCATGAGTCTAATAAAATTTCATCCCTGTTACAAATCCCGAAGTCTTAAGACTGCTGCCATCAGAGAAGCATTGTCCATCATTGAGGGGATGCTTCTAGTAGGAGTAAGGCCAGAACCAGAGGACAAAGAGGTTTTAAACCTGGCAGGTTCAGGGCACTGTGAGGATTTCCAAGTTATGAGGAGTCCCTGCTCCAGCTAGATGCTCTGCTTTTCGAACACACTTATGAAGCAGCAGAGTCTGTTAACAATTGCACACTTGCACATAAACTGCTTGGGTATGGTTTTATTGCAGCTCCACCTCGTAGACAAACAAAGCTCTCTAGAGTAGCTTGTCTTGCTGGACAGCATGACTTCTCTCTTCAAAAACCCTGCAGAATATTAAAGTCAGCTATGCTCAGCACAGTACAAACTTCCAGTGAAGAGCAAAAGGGTTACACAGAAATTCTCATCCAGGAGGAGGGCCTCATCAGCATCCGAGGTGTAATGGTGTAATCTTAACACAGTATTTTGACTGTTCGTGAAAAGATAAGAATCCCAGCAAAAGTTAAATTATAAGCCAGTACCCCTCACTGCTAGTTAGCTCATTAATTCAGCTTCCTAGCAGCCACTTCCCTGTGAGGCAGGTTGGGTAACATACAGGTTTTGTTAAGATCTTTCACCTCTGCACCTCAGCACTCTGTGCTCGTGGCATGGTAGTGTTGTGTCGGAGGTGAAGGATTCAGTTCAGGTCTGATTGTATTCTGCCTTTCACTGAACACCTCTGACTTGCTAATAATAATAATAATATATCCTGCTTTAAAGTGTTGGTCTCTACTTCAAATGTGGTTCATTTTCAATGGGATTCAGACAATATCAACATTTCCCCTTAGAAGTGTTCGTGAATGACTGGAAGAAGGGTGGTTTTCAGGCACTAAGATCTCTGGAGATGCAGATTTAGTTCCCTGGACGCCTTGTGTAACCACAGTCAGAAATAATTTAATCTGGGTTTTGCATCCCCCCTTTTCTCAGCTGGGTAACTGAAATAGCCAACAGATGAGAGAAAAGACTATTTAGACAGTAAGCTTCCTTGACTCCCTCGAATAAAAGCCACTAATGAGGCCTTATGCAGACACAAAGAGGGTGTCACATTCCCAGCTCCAAAAGCCTCACTCCAGTTCTGACACAGTCATTCCCTAGCACATGGAATGCACAGACCTCCTCACCTCCATTTTAGACATCCTTTCTGAATTAGGACTTGGAACAGCAATTCAGCCCTCATCTATACTAGCTGGGTTCATATGGCAAGTCTACCATTCCCCTCTTCTCCAGAACCGCCATATATTTCTTGCCCACAGAGACAATGGTCTGAACCAGACACCTTTTCTCAGCTGGTTACGTTATTCTGCAGAGCTCTTGATCATGTGAGACTGACCACTACAGCACCTTCAGAAAGTCATTCTGTATTGCTCCATGCATACAGAAATGGAGGGCTGGAGTATCACAGACAAATTCAGCTCCTAGGATCAACGTCTCAGGCAATGGCTGTGCCCGGCGGCACCAAAGGCTACAATGAAGCAGAAAAAAATGTCTCGGAGAAGAGGCCAATAAACAGCCTGTCTGTGTTCGACTCAATAGTTTCAATATTTTCAGCAAACATGAGCAGCAGCGTAGTCTGGGCATAGTGCTGAAGAGCTCAGGGGACACAACAGGCAAGTCTGCACTTAAATATATTCCACACATAAATTCTGTAGCTGTATTACAGATTTAAAAGAGGCACCTAGAGTACAAGTATTATTGAATAATTTAGATGATTAATCAAAGTACCCAGCAGTGAATTTTGAAGCAGATCATACACACCATATTCTGGAAGCAGGCACCCCAACCATGGCTGGCAAATGCTTACCAGCATAAGGTGGTGGAGAGTTGCCTGTTCACCATATATATCTGGTTAGCACCTTCCTGCAGAGTATGGTGTCAGCTCATTCTGAATAAGCAGCCCAGTAGGGAAACCACATGAGATGACCAGGGGCTTGTGCTGGAGTCTGTTAGATGAGCTGCAGGACAGTGACCCACACCTACACGAAGGAGTTCTTTGCTCCTGCTTGGCTTTGTGCCCAGCAGCACCTTGTGCAGGAAGGCAGGTGGCACTTGCACCACTGGCAAGGTCCCTGTGCTTTGGGCACGACAACTGAATGAGATGTACAGAAACAATGGAGAGGAGAAGCTAAACTGCAATAAAATATTTGTGACGAAGAAATAGGGAAAAAGGAAAAATTCAATGAATGCAGTTAGAGAAGGACCTGGGAGTGCTGGTCAACAGCCGATCGAACATGAGCCAGCAGTGTGCCCAAGCAGCCAAGCAAGCCAACGGAATCCTGACATGTATCAGAAACAGTGTGGCCAGCAGGAGCAGGGAAGTGATTGTCCCCCTATACTCAGCACTGGTGAGGTCACACCTTGAGTACTGTGTCCAGTACTGGTGGAGGTGCTGGAGCAGGTTCAGAGAAGAGCAACGAAACTAGTGAAGGGTTTAGAGAACTTGTCCTATGAGGAGCGACTTGAGGGAGCTGGGACTGTTTAGTCTGGAGAAGAGGAGGCTCAGGGGAGACCTTATCGCTCTCTACAATTACCTGAAAGAAAGCTGTAGGGAGATGGGGATCGGTCTCTTCTCCCACATTACGAATGACAGGATGAGAGGGAATGGCCTCAAGTTGCGCCAGGAGAAATTCAGGTTAGATATCAGGAAGAATTTCTTTACAGAGAGGGTTGTGAAGTATTGGAACAGGCTGCCCAGGGAGGTGGTGGAGTCCCCATCCCTGGAGGTGTTTAAAAACCGTGTGGATTTGGTGTTGAGCAACATGGTTTAGGGACTCTGACAGTGCAGGGTGAATGGTTGGACTCGATGATCTTGAAGGTCTCTTCCAACCAGACGATTTTATGATTTAGAGGGAGGACTTCTGAAGGCTTTTCTTATGGAAAAGACAATGAAGTTTGTTAGGTGCATGTTTCCATTTTGCTAACGCATGGCAGAAAAAAATTTTAAAAGCAGTTTCTCTTTTACAATGGATCTACGCAAAAGCTTCCTGACAAAAACTGCTCATCTATTGTAATTTCTTTCAGCATCTCCATATGTAAAACAAAATTATCTCCTCCTTACCTACCAGAAAATCTGGCGGGTGGGAGGGCAGAAAGTAATCGGGTTTTAATGCAGATTCCCCTTTTAAATACAACACTAAACTACATCTATTAAGTATGTTTGAGACTGGAAGAGTCATCCTCCACGCTGCATTCTGGGTGCAGCACAAAACCTGTGAATGGCAGTTTCCAGGTACCAAGTTTTGCAGACAGATCACAAATTGTCTCAAAGAGGATGGCACTGTGACAAAGTATTCCTAAATCCTGCGCCTGACTTCCCCCTCAAACTCTCTGTATTGCATTGGAGACAGTCCATTTGCTTCAATTCCTCCCTCCCTTCCTCCTTACAGATCTCAGCTCAAAGTCTTAACTCATTGCTAGTTTGTAAATGGAAGTTCTCATAGAAGGATAACAAGAGATCACAAAGCCTGTGAGAAGTTTATTAGGCACTTGGCACCTGGTATATCAAGGCTTTTCTTCAAGCAGATCAAGGTGGTAGGTAAGAAATCACATCTTTCAGACTGAAACTTTGCTTCTGGTTTTGTGCTTGTAGAACACAGCAACAGGACCCCAACCCTACTCCATTGTATCAGATAAGCGCAAAAGTTAAACGCAATCTGGTATTTCACCACAGCTGTTATAGACCGTTTATCCTGGGGCTATACAGAAGCGAGAGATCTTTATGACAAGAAGCTGAAAAATGATGTTTAGAATGCTAGAAGGCATGTTACAGAAGTTCCTGCCATATTTCAAGACTAGGGGGGCACTCAAGCTAGCCCTCCTGGCCATCACAGGGTTAATGAAATCTGCAATTCAAAACCAGCACATCTACCATGTTTTCCAGTCTTGTCTGTCTAATAAATCTGGTTTCATACCATGTCTTTTCCTTTTCCCACAAGCTTAATGAGTAACTAGTTTGCCTCTGGTAACACTGCAGTTTTTATTGCAGTTTGTAGGAAGAGCACTGAGTTCCTCCTCCTTCTCCTGTCCCCTCTCACCGTTAAGTATATTAAATCCTTCAGATAATGAAGAATGGATCTTTTTACTCATCTGGTAAACAATTCAATATTTTATAGTTATAAGGCTTCATGCAAAGACTAATCTAGTTGTAAGTCTATCGGGGTTTTTTTTAGAGCAGGTCCCTCATTATAATGTCACATTTCATGGTCTCTTGGGTAATCTCTCTTTATACTAGTGGGACAAGTTCTTACTGCACACTTATGTCATTCATCTTTAATATCTATAAACTTACAGCACAGCCTAATTCTTCCTCTTTCAAATCTGTCACACTCCTAGGGTAAAGGTCTTTCCAGTGGCAAACACATTACTCAGAACATTCTGAATAAGACACCTGTGACAAAGGACAAAGCTGAATTTACTTTACTGATAAGGAAGTGGAAGAGCCAGTTACTTTCCAAGATTAAGATCCAGTTATTCTCTGATCCTATTTCTCCCCTGCTCTCAATCATGCAGGAATGAAACAAAGGTCTTTATTCCACTTTCTACCTACCAATAATTAAAAATAAAAATATCTATACAGAGAGGTCATCCATATTACACAACTCAGCTATCAAAAGTTTAAGTGCCTAAGAGACTAGATCTGAAAAACCTACACCTTTCCTGAGTGAAGAACTTGTTAGTACGTTAAGCAGAGGAGAGCAAGGAGAGGTTTCTACTTCTAGGAAGTTCAAACATTAAAGCTATCCAGAGAGGATCTGTCCCCTTAATTCCTTCCACCAAAGAGGCAGAGAATTTTTCTTCTCAATTTGCAGAAAAAGAATAATCAACTTGTTTTAATGGACAAAGGATTTTCTACAGTAACTGTTTTGCCAAAGGATTTTCTCTTTATAACAGAATTTCACTTGTAATTGATCATTCCTCAAAGACTCAAAGTTTTCCATATAGTTCTGTCAGGCAACAACGATTGACAAGACTGATCAATCTCCTCCACCAGCAGGGCAAGTCTCAGTTGCCCAATAGCTAGAAACACATGAACATGAACCCATGAAGTTCAACTAACAACTCTATCCTCTTTAAACAGGAGGGCAGGGGCTGCCAGCTGCTGCACTGCCTCAAGGAATTAGGCTGAACTATTTGTGATGTGGGTGGGGAAGAGCTTTTCAGGTCTCAGTTGGGTCTGGTGCAACAGTCCCAGCTAGTTCAATTAGTCACTCGCCTCCTCTGTGTAAGATAGAGAACTAACCTCCTTTTCTTCTTCTATTTACGTTTTGGTAATCTAAGTACCTAAGCCTATCTAACAAGTTTGAACATTTGAAGCCAAAGCCAAGCTCATACACTTCCCAGTTGAGCTACCGGGTGTATCAGCAATGGGAGTGCCTGACAGAACTTCACATGTGAACGTGGGCTGCTTTACTGACTGCTCTGAACCCCACCAGGAATGGCCAGCTTCTCCAGAACAGACCTCCAGCAGGGAAGGAGGTGTGTTAATACAGAACTGCAGGCTATATGGAGGCTCCCCACGCTCCCCTACACCACAAGAACATCTCCTCTTGTTTTAAATCTCCTCTCAGTCAGTGTTTCTGTGATGAAGAATATTAATCCATAAAGCAGGGTTTGCCTGGATATATCATCATAAAAGTTGGACATATTATGCAGTAGCAGGGAGGTCACAGCTCCTGAACCTCAGCCTCTCCAGCTCTACCTCCACCTCATGAGGATGTTGCACTAGTAGCCCTCAACTTTGCATCAGACCAGAGCCAGAAGATGGTTCCTTCCTATTATGCTAGAGGATTTGTATGAAGGAGTAATACTTTGAAGTCACATACCTCTAACACTGTGAGCACCTGCTCAGGAACCCTTGTATTAAAGCCCAGAAGAGCAGCTACATACCTGGAGGGAGACTGAAAACCTTTCCTAGACACCTGGGCTTTGAAAATTTGATTCCCACAACTGATAAAATGTAAACAAAAAGGGGCCTGACTTTCGAAAGAGGAAAGCCACAGTACTTTCCCAGTGACAGATCAGGCATCCTCAGTTTCTGTGGGTGGGGCAGCAGAGCTAAAACAACTTGTGTAGAATGGGGCTTTATTTTCTACTGCTGCTTGTGTCAGGCTGGAACATGTCCCAGTACTAACATCATCTCAGAAATAGAAATACTTTTATTTGACGTTAATCAAGCAATATAGTTAGCAGATTGATCATCAGACAAATTTCAAGTAGTAATTGCCACCTGCCTCACTTTAGATGGGCCTTTAAAATTCCAAAGAGCCAAAACCTGGTGGCTGAAGGAAGGAAATAGAGAAATGTAGGGCATTGTTGGAGGACTTTATCATGCAAAAAGTATTCCTCAAGCCCTCTGAGGCTCAGATGTTCTTGTTTCCATCAAATAAACTAAATATCACAGCAGTTTGGTAGCCGTTTCTCTCAATCTCCTGCTTAAAATGAAAGGATTGGAAACAAATCCAAAAGCTTTCTTCCTTTTCCCCTTCTTTTTCTTTTTAAAATTTATCCATTTCTATAACTTGGGGTGATTTCTTTGAGATAGTTTAGCAGCTTTTATAAAAATCCAATGCACTTGTGCTCATGCCATACCTACCATTGGCAATCTGCATCCGGGAATGCTGGGAAAGTCATGATGTTCCATGTGGTAGCCTACATTAAAGGTGAGCCAGTTCAGAGGTCCGTAATACGAGTATGTCTCATACCCTTTTAAGAACATGTAGTGTTCCGCTATGAAGTGCCCAGAAATAGGATGTAAACCCATGCAAAGAATTGTACCTGCTATTAAGTAAATAATAGGCTTGAGCCCCCAAAGGTAGTAAATGATAAGGTCTATAGAAAACTGGACGAGGGCGTTAAGAATTTCCATCCGTGTAATTGCTTTGGGGTTCACATACAGTGGTCTTAGGCTGTAGAACAGAGGTTGGAGGAAAAGCCAAAGAAGCTTCCGAAGTGGCGTACAGAAGAACCAGCCTTCAAAGTCTGTGGGAATGTCCACATCCAGGCTGTCCCCACCAAGATACCGATGATGGTCAATGTGGTATTTCTTGAAGGAGGCAGAATAAGGGATGCCAATCGGCAAGTTGGCAAAGACTGCAAACCATCGGTTCCACTTGGCCTGCTTGTTCCCAAAGGCAACGTTGTGCGAAATATCATGGATGGCTAGGGTCAGCGAATGGTTGATGCAACCCCCAAAAGCATACGCCCAGAAGAAAATCCATTTCCAAGACAAGTCTTTCACCAGGTAGCATGCTAGAAACTGCATGAAAACCATTCCAGATACGATCCACTTTAAATGTGGATCTGGTCCCATCAGAGTCTTGATCTCTGGATACTTTGCTAAAGAGAAAAATGCAGAGAAAAACCTCGTTAGATCACAGTTAGGTAAACATAATCACCACTGGCACTCTATTTTTACCACCATATGTTTGAGGTCCTAGTTTTATAAGGTGGCAATTCCAGAACAGGATTGCCACTATAGTGAAAGCTTTACTAATATATGGGCTCTGTTCCCACTCCTAGCATCATGTCCAATTATGATTGATATTGCGAGAGAGATACATACACACACATATATACATAAAAAAATAAAATTTACCCTGATGGTCAATATGTGGCATCATGTGCCTTCACAAGGATGAGTATTAGTATGCCAAAACCCATCAGATTTAAGGTCTAAGAAGCATCTTCTGTCAAGTTTTCCATTTCCCTTTTTATTTTGCCCAATCTAGTTGCTACTTTCCACAAAAGGGACATAACTGCCTTCTTTGTAGCCCTTCTCATACTGTTGCTTCAACAGGGGAATAGGGCTGAGCAACAGGCTCGCCAGGTTTTGCTCTGTGGTTAGATGACGAATGTAGCATTAAAAAAACCCAAACAACTAAGTATTTGAGTGCTCCCCAGTGCTTACAACGTGTACAACTCTTTGCACACGGTAACATCACAAGAAAGTCAGTAATATTACTGGGAATTTGTAAGACAGAAGTTTTTTTTCTGTTCCCATTCATTAGCCTGTTCCCAAGTCACATAACCAGAAACAGGTATGAAAATCGCATAAGTAATCGCACAACGGCTTCATGTGGCCCTACAAACACTACCATACAGCATCAGAGAGACGTGGGCTCGGCCTGCCAGGTCTGACTGGTCTCAGGACAGGACCAGCTCACTGATCTTTTGTTCTACTGGCCATTCATTTGTCCTTTTAAGAAAAAAAAAAAACACACAGAAGTACAGCTTATCTTCTAGGCACTCCTCATTGCTTCAGGTCCTTTCTTTACAAACCCACACTTCTCAATTCCAGTATTAACCTGCACATTAATTTTTCCACTGTTTTATGGCTTTGACTCACCAACTGGCCACCCTCCTTTTACCCATACTCTGTATTTCTCGATGATGACAGCTTACACAGATAAGACTGTGGGACAAGTCGCTCACTCTGAACCCTGAGATTACATAGCATGCCCCTGTAAATTTGTTAGGCTCATTTAATGAGTAGAAAAGTAAATATCATCTGACTGTCAACATATGATACCAATGCACTAACAGCAGATGATAATGATTCACATCTATGCAGCTGTATATCCTGTAAACAATTGGAGGAGAACACACACACACAAATTCATGTGACCTTGCAAGCAGAGGCAAGTACTGAGTGCAGGACACAGAGAAGATTTTTTTATAGAAATGAACTCTGAGAAGTCTGTAGCAGTTCAAGAGATGAAGTGCTACTTAAGGAAGCAGGTCCATGTGGTCATGCTCTGCAACCATTCAAACAACTTTTGAGCCTGTTGGCCAACTTCAGCCCAGTTTAACAGAGGTTAGTGATCATAAAGATTAGACAGGTTTTGCGGAAGATGATGAGAAAAGGGATATTCTCAATACTTTCCCTTCTGTGGACAAGGAAGCAAAATCACCATGAGGAGTATTCAGGCAGGGGAGAGATTTTCCAAGTGGTGAGAAAGCTCTAGTAAAAGTTCACATCTTTCTAAAGTCAGCCAAACTTTTTGATAAAAGTCTCTGGAGGGTCCAGGGGTTTTGGTTTTGCTGTTTTGTTTTTGTCCTTGTTTTTGCAAGTTTTTAAATTAGTGTTTATGTTAGAAATGCTAACATGCTAGAAATGATTCTCTGGTACCTAGACAGGTACCAAAATTTTACACAAAGTGCTGGCATATCCACACTAAAGAACAACTTGATATAATGACCTGGTCAGAACATCTGTTACAGACTTACAATTTTACATAGCTTACTGTCCTGATTAGAAGCATCTGTCCAAAACCCAGAAAACCTTTTAATAAATCAAGACACCTCAAATTTTCAGCCATGCAGTTGGTAGATTTAAGTTACTGCAGACACCAGAAGAGATGAAAAGATGTAAACCAACCAAATCTGTTCCTCAGCCTGGTCAAATTCAAGCCATTTTGACCCCAAAAAAAAGTTTTAATGGGACAGGAAAATGACTAAGCAATGCTTTATATTGTAGTTTGAGAACCTATTTATATTGTCACTTTGGACTTACTTCTTTTTGTGGCAGCTAACAAGGATTGCAGATCACATTTAAGAGATTTCAGAGTAGTAACTGCCAACAAGCAGCAACAGTGTCTGCAAGCAGGAA